GAAAATAAAGTATTTATGCGTTAAACCTAATTTGTCTAATTAATTTTAATTATGTAAAATAAACCAACTTATCCTAAATTAAATTAATCTAATTAATTAATGAAATAAAATATTTTATGAAAAAAAAATCTGATTTTGATGTTTTTGTGATTTTTTGATTTAATAAAAAAATGATTTTTGTTTTGTAAAAATAATTAAACAAATAATTAAAACAAAAGAAATTAAAAAAGAAATAAATTGGGCCTATTACTGTTGTTAGCAATCTGGGGGTGTGAAGCTGAATTGTTAGGCCCAAGTTATGTTGGCCCAGTTGCCTGCGTGTGGATTCAGTGTAGCTGGTCTTCAGGAGGTCCACCATGTGACTGCTTCCTGGAGGCGTGAAATTTGGCCAGGACATGATCTGATGGTGTGGATCTTGGGTGCATGATAGGCACATAGCATGGACCAGGGCATGCAGCACATGGAATCTGCAGAGAAATAGTGAGAAAAAACACAAAAGCACACGCCTGGGATCGAACCCAGGACGCTAGCTTTATACCTCTCTTCCTTGACCAACTGCGCCAGCTACTCATTCGTTAATATGATAAAATAAATAAAACATAAAGCAAGCAAAGTAGTCTTTCCCAAAATGCGCGCGTGATTCAAATCTCCCAATGAGAGTTTGCCACCTAATTGTCTTCTTCCCCATAACTGTTGTTTTTGATATCAGCTTTTACCTACGGACAAAACTGTCACTAAAGGTTATAGTGACAGTTTTTTTCCGTAGCTACATCCCTGCAAGATTCAAAATATAATACAAGCAAGATAAATCAAAACCAAAGGCATAAATCAATTGCAAATCATGCCCTGAGTTCATTGGTACCCATAATTCTCTTTAATTTGTCCTGGAAAAAGAAACCCCAATTTTGAGCTTTCAAACCCTAACAATGGTGTAAGCCCGTTCCTGCGCTAAAACTCAAATCCAGGCCTTCAAACAGATTCCAAGCATGATTATAAACACGTTTATGCAATCAAATTTGATTTAAAACATGTAAAACTAAGAAAACGAATTTAAGTTACAAGGGTGCAAATCGTGATCTGTATCTGGAGATTCCTAAGGCTGCAAGCTTGGATAGCAACTGGAAAAGCTTCAAGGACCTTCATGGATGATCACTGATGCTCCAAAACTCCTTGAATTGGCCTGTAGAGAAAGATTTGATCTGCACTTTTCTTTGAAAATTTGGAACTTTGTTTGACTCCTTGAGACAGGTTGCGCGTCTGAATTATCTTTCTTAGGGTTGAGAATACTTGTGTGTAAGTATGTGAATCAAATTAGGGTGCTAAGTTTAGAAAAAATCCAAGATTTGATAACTTTTGAAAATTGCTTCCAAACTTTCCAAACTAGGAGATTTCCTCTTGTTTTTTGATTTTGCACGATTTTGTTTGACTTTGTGACAGCAAGCGTGATCTCTAATTCAATGCAAACAAATCTCATCCCATTAATTTTATTTATTTTGATTTAATTTGATTTAATTTGAATTTTAAATAAATAAAATCAAAATAAAATATAAAAAATAAATAAATAAGGCATGGAATGGTTTATGGGTCGTGGACCATGTTAGGAATGAGATTCAATCTTGAAAAGTTTGGTCCATTTGGAAAAAATGCAATTTTGGGCATTGTTGATTTTGTACAAATTTCCAAAATTGGCCAACTTTGACAATGCATATCTCCTTCAATTTTGACCCTAAGAGAATGTTCTTGGACTTTTTGGAAAGCTTAAGATGTCCCCTAAACAACACTTTTGGTTTCATATCAATTGGATCTTCCATGTTCATATAAGAAGCTTTGACCCAAAAGGTGTTTTTGTTGACTTCGGAAAAGGACCTATAATATTTGATTTTATATCTTTTCATGAGTGCATTTCTTGAACTTGAAGATAAAAGATGGATTGCAGGGAATTGGATTCTCTTCAAAATGAGCCTTGGATGGGAAATTTATGATAAAGTTTGAGAAAGTTATGCCTGGTCAAAGTTTGGTTGACTTATCCTATAGAAACCCTAATTTAGCAAATTTTGAGTTTTGATGAATTTGGGGAATTCCTTGAGGAATCATGATCAATCCTTGATCAAATGATGAATATTACTTCAAAATGTTAATGTTGACCAAAATCTTGAAGTTTGACTGCATGAGGGTCACAATTGACTTTTGATCTAGTATAGTTGATTTTTAGGCATTTGAGCAGTTGACTAGGCAAACTTCTTGTGCAAGGCATGAAACTTGACATGGATGGTCTTGAGAACATATTAGGACCATGGAAAGCAATTGAAGTCTTTGGAGTTGACACATCCTGATTCAAATGGAAACCCTAGTTGGGGGTTCATTGCCTTAGAAGGAGAATTTATCTGATCAATTCTTGGGCATCCTTGGGCAAGTTGAGGACCTAAATAGGCATGTGTTGAGTAAAATGAGAGGGAAAATTTTGGGGTATAACAGCTGCCCCTGTTCAATCTTCTTAAACCTGAGGATGTAGATTGACTTATTTGCCTTTCGTGATCTGAAGGTGGAAGATGATTGAACACTAGAGTGCCCAGAAATTTACACTCACATGAAGTGAATGTCGATCGATAATATATGGAATAGGCTTACAAATGCCATTTGGAAGGCGACGGAGAATAGTCGGAGATGGGCTTAAAGATGCCATCCAGAAAAGATATCGGTTGCATAAGAGATTCCTTTGCGAGAATTCCTATACCTGCCGTTTAGGAGGACTTCGTCGGGGAATGTTGATTTATGTCTTGGGAAATAGAGTCTAGGAGCTTCGGTTGTCCATTACTCTATTGGGGAATTAAATCTTAATTGATGAGACAAAAGTGAGCTGTCATATGGTCGAGTCTGGGTTTTACGGTGACTTACTAGGGAATATGAAATCGACCATATCTGGTTGGGTCCTGGTTTTATAGTGTTGTAAACTGTTGTCCGGAGATAAAAGAGAAGGAACATGTATAGGGCTTTCTCGGGACACGTCCATGTAAAACTGTGTAAGGTAATTCATGAAAAGGAGCCTGGATAGTAGGGCTATGAGAAGGAACCTGGGTAGTAGGGTTACTTCGAAATAAAGCTTGGGTAGTAGGGCTGCTTCGGAATAAAGCCTGGGTGGTAGGGTTGTGAGAAGGAACCTGGGTAGTAGGGTTACTTCAAAATAAAGCCTGGGTAGTAGGGCTGCTTCGAAATAAAGCCTGGGTGGTAGGGCTGTGAGAAGGAACCTGGGTAGTAAGGTTACTTCAAAATAAAGCCTGAGTAGTAGGGCTGCAGGAAGGAACCTGTATAGTAGGGTTAGTTTGAGATGAAAGCCTGGATATTATGGCTTATGGGAAGGAACCTGGATAGTAGGGTTACTTCGAGATGAAAGCCTGAATAGTAGGGCTTATGGGAAGGAACATGGATAGTAGGGTTACTTCGAGATGAAAGCCTAGATAGTAGGGCTTGTGGGAAGGAACCTGGATAGTAGGGTTACTTCGAGATGAAATCCTGGATAGTAGGGCTTATGGGAAGGAACCTGGATAGTAGGGTTACTTCGAGATTAAAGCCTTGATAGTAGGGCTTATGGGAAGAAACCTGGATAGTAGGGTTAATTCGAGATGAAAGCCTGGATAGTAGGGCTTATGGGAAGGAACCTGGATAGTAGGGTTACTTTAAGATGAAAGCCTGGATAGTAGGGCTATGAGAAGGCACCTGGGTCGTAGGGTTACTTCGAGATGAAAGCCTGGATGGTTGACCCGTTTGGTTTCGGGAACTGATTTTCCATTAATTATCTGCAGATGTGACATGTATAACTGTTGGGATTGTTGATGATAATTGTCTTTCCTGAAAAGATAACATGGTTAATTATATGCAATGCATGAAATGCATGGTGGGATGATGTTCTCAAAATAAATGAGATTATGTTGTATACGATATGTATGTGCATGTCATGATGTATGAACACGAGATACTATTGTGACATATTTGAGTCTGGGAAAATAAATCCCTGACTATTACTGGAGAGTATTGGAAACAACATTCCTGACTGTTGTAGAAAACCGTGGTTCTTCTACTTCCATTGGGGATGGTGAACAGAGATGACTATGCTGGAGATTTGCTCCTTGTTTACGGGTATTCTATCGGGAGAGAGACTCTGCTTAAGAATAACTCTGCAGGGAAATAACTTGGTTGGAGGATGGACTTCTATAGCTGAAGGGATAAACTCTGTCGGGGATTGAGCTTCTGTATTTAGAGGAATAAACTATGTTTGAGAGAAAACTTTATGGCCCGCTTGTGATTATGAAATTCAGTTGGGGAATATAGATGCCAGTTTTCTGAAGGAACCTGGCTGGGGAGAGTACCTCCTGTTTTGGGGAAGCCGATGTCAAAGCTTTAATTGCCTCTACTTTATGGGGAGTACATACGTCACGGGGTCGTACGTACTGATGACTTTGTTTCAAAGTTGCCTCTGCCCTGGTACCTGCTGGACAGAGTAACTGTCGGGTTTGAACTTTTTTTATAGTTTTTGCCCCTGTTTCTTAAGGTACGAGCAATTGTCTTTCTGTTTCCTATACAAATATTTATGAACAACAATCATATTCAAATGCATATGTCAAGAATAAATCATTGGGCGTTTTTGCAAAACAAAACAGTAAAAGAAAAACAAATGGTTTTGTAAAAATGACTTGTATTAATTTTCAAAGAAATTTTATATGATGAGTGTTAGTTTCTCTTCATTGGGATTTCAGCATAGATGCATGCAGTGGAGTCCATGTTAATTTCTCTTCATGCGTGTATTTTTACATTATAGATAAGTGGAATCACCAATAAAACTGTGATGGATAATATGGGTGGTTATGTAACACTTTATTTAAATGTAACCAATGTTTGTTTGTTTATGTAATCAACTCAGTTTGGCCTGTCTTGCATTGTTTCTTAAGGTGATATGTTACTTTATGGCTTAAGTTCAAATTTTGCTGTTGTTTTTTATTAAATAGATGACAAAGAATGTAGAGCATATAAGTCTTACAACTTCAGCTAGCACTCATGATGAAGTTATATTGCCACCATATCCCAAAGAAAAAAAGCGTCAAATATGGTCTAATATGTGGAACCACTTCACTGCGATGGAAGGTGATGAGAAAAAGGCTAAATGTCAATATTGTGGAGTCTTAATTAAGTATAGTAACAGAACAAGTGGTATGCAGACTCATCTAGGTAGATGCACTGCTTATGATCATGATAAAACCCAACCCACCCAACCAAACAAAAGGAGAAAAACCAATTCAGAAGGGAAAATAGTTTGTTCGCCAAGCTATTCTAAATTTGATCAAGAGGAATGTCAAGCGCTACTTGTGAAAACATTTATGTGTTGTGAGCTTCCATTCTGTTTTGTGAAGAATGAAGTCTTTAGAAAGTTATTAATCACTTTGCAGCCTCGGTTTTATATCCCATCACGGTCTACATCGAGGCTTGATATTTGGGCGCTCTACCTTGAAGAAAAGGAGAAATTGAAAAATTCTTGTCAAATCATGGAAGAGTTTGTTTGACTACTAACACTTGGACTTCAACTCAAAACTTAAGTTACATGAGTTTGATCGTGCATTTTGTGGACAATGACTGGAAGATGCATAAGAAAATCATTAACTTTTGTCAAATCATGGGGCACTCGGGTCACATGATTGGAAAATATATTGATGATTACTTAATAAGTTGGGGGTTGAGTCAAATCTTGACCATAACAGTTGACAATGCTTCGACAAACACCACTATGATTAAGTATCTCAACATAAGGATGAGGTCTTGGAGTAATCTTGTTTTGAATGGGGAATATGTTCACATGCATTGTTGTGCACATATCTTGAACTTAATTGTAAAATTTGGATTGAAGGAGGATAAAAGTTGCATTAAAAAAATTTGTCATGCGGTTAAATATGTCAAATTTTCTCCTAGCAGACTAGTCAAATTTATGGAATATGCGGTGCAGGAAAAAGTTACATACAAAGGTGTTGTTATCCTTGATGTTGAAACTAGATGGAATTCAACTTATTCAATATTGAAGGTTGCCTTACAATATCAAAAAGCTTTTGACTTGCTCTATGCACGAGATAAGACATTTTACGAAGAAATGGAAAAAATGAATGCGGGAGTTAAGAAGGAGGATTGGGCATATGTTGCATCAGTGCTTCCCTTTCTTGAGATGTTTTACAAATCTATAACTTGTTTTTCTGGATCATTATATGTCACTAGTGCTTCATATATGACAGAGGTATTCATCATTGGAAAAGGGATAAATAAGCATTTAAAGAGTAATAATGAGCACATAAAAAACACGACGAATAAGATGAAAGGTAAATTTAACAAGTATTGGGGAAATCCTGACACAATAAACATCTTACTATTGATTGCTTTTTTTCTTGATCCAAGGGTGAAATTGACTATTGCAGATTTTTATATTGATCTTTTATATGTTGACACCAGAAAATTCAGTGATTTAAAAAAAATTGAAGTCTTCTCTTTTAGAATTTTATGTTTAATATCGAGGTTTTGATGACTCTCAATCTAGCCAAGTAGACACACCAGTAAATGAGGATGGTGATGATAATATTTTTCGGCACTACAGTCAACAAACTGGGCATAAGTCTGATCCTAAGACTAAAATTGAATCATATCTACAAGAAACACGAGTACCATATGTTAAAACAATTGAGTTTGACATCTTAGGTTGGTGGAAAGTCAACTTAGCTAGATACCCTATTTTGGCAAGCATAGCTCGAGAAGTGTTGGTTATTCCCGCCTCTACTGTAGCTTCAGAATCTGCTTTCAACACTGGTGGAAGGGTTATTAGTGATTATTGTACTTATCTAACACCTAAAATGGTGGAAGCGCTTGTTTACACGCAAGACTGGTTGAAAGGAGAACCAATCTCCTTATTTTTTGAAGAGAACCTTGATGATATCCATCAATTAGAGCAAGGTAAATCAATTTTCTAACCTTTTTTATTTATAATTTTCCAACTTATTGTTGCATTTATTAATGCTTTGTCTATTTAAAATTATCCACGCTAAATGATTATCAAGACTTTGTTTGTTTTCACAGTAGGAGTGAAATTTATTGCCTTGGTATTGGCAATATGGGGATTTCTTTCATATATTTATCAAAATTATTTAGATGATAAAAAGGCTAAGGAATTTAAGAGACTTTGTCTTGGGGTCTCAAATGGTGGGGTAGAAATCTCTTTTGAAATGAGTTGAGAGAAGGAGGAAAATAAATTGTAATGTTGTTGATTTTGTATCTTTATTGATACTATAGCAAGATATTAGTACATTTCCATGGATCACTTATATTTTTCTACTGATGTATGCCAGAACTATATCTATTTGCGCACTTGGTTATGAAGTTATAACTATTGGTTTTGTAAAAATGAGTTATGAAATGGATCTTCATTCTATTCTTTACTTTGTTCGTATGTTAATTTTTTATTTTGTTTTATAGAGATAACATCTCAAACATCAATTGTTAATCTTGATGATGATGAAGGCTTTGCAAGTTAAAAAGAAATCTTGATGATGATGAAACCTTTGTTGCAACTTGCATGGTTTTGACATTGTGACTCGAGATGAAGGACCAGTAGATATGGCTAAACAAAGTGAAATAACCAACATCAAAGCCTCTCCTCTCCAAGTCATTCTCACTTCACGTTTGTCAGCCCAAGCTTTTAGTCAAAATTAATGTTCACATTAGGAATAAATAAACATGATCTTTTTTAAGTATGGTATAATGTGATATGCAAATACAATGGAGACTCTATTTCTAAATAAAAATGCAACTTTTTAAGTGTTTTTATAGTTTAAACACGTGTTTAACTATATATAATAAGGAATCTCTTTTATCTTATTTAGTTTAAGAAGACCTAAGTTTAAATCTGATCTTGAATTTGAACTCAATTCTAGATACACACTTAACGATGTTTAATTCTCTTAAATGATAGTTTTACTTATCATTGTAATTCTATTTAATTTGAAAAATTAATCTTTACAGTTTAAAATACACAATTTTCTAAAGAAAATTAATAGAAACACATCTTTCAAGTATTAGTTGGTTATTTCATAAGTGCTTATTTTTATAAACACTTGTGTTATAAGTTGTAAATAAGCTGTTTATTTAAGTTTGCAATTTTAATTTTAATTAATTTGGGATTTTTATTTTGAATAAGTTAAAAAATTATGTTATAAAATATATTAAAAATATTTATAAAAAAATACTACAAATAAATTTAAATAGTTTTTTATTAAAAAAAATTCAAAACATAACGGTTCGGTTCCTTAACAAATAGTTCAGTTTGGAAAAATTATCTTCTAATGGTTTGGTACGGTTCGGAATTCCGAACCGTTATATCAAACCAAAAGTTTTGGTTCAATTTGGTTCTAAAAAATTGAAACAGTTAAGTACGGTTCGGATAACTTTATATAATGGTTCAGTTCAATTCAGTTCAATTTTTTGACAAAATTGTACCATGAACAACCCTACTCAAGAATTTTTTGTCAAAGAGAAGATGTTTAAGTCCATAAACAACACTCTTGTCACCCTTATTCCTAAAGTCCCAGATGCTACAAGGGTGAAAGAATTTAGACCCATTTCCAGTTTCTCCACCATTTATAAGATTGTCTCCAAAGTTTGGCCAACAGAGTTAGAAAAGTTTTAATGCAGTATAATTGACAACAGCCAGACCACTTTTATACCTGGTTTTCATATTCAAGATCATGTGTTGCTGGCCTTCAAGCTTTTGCAGGGGTAAAGTCAGAAGATTGATCCTCCTAAGTGTATGCTCCAAATAGATATGCAGAAAGCTTACTATATTGTAGAGTGGGGTTCCCTTGAAGATATTCTTAAGGAGCTTAGTTTTCCTCTCCAATTGGTTAGGTGGATCATGAAAATCGCCTCTACAGTCTCTTATAGATACAAGGTAAATGGCAAACATAAGGACATTCTCAAAGCTATAAGAGGTCTTAGGCAGGGGGATCCACTTTCCCCCTTGCTTTTTGTTATAGTTATGGATTATATGTATAGAACCTTGAGAAGATTAGACAACAATCCAAACTTCAAATATCACTCACAGTGCGAGAAAATGAAAATTTTCAATATGAGCTTTACATATGAATATGACCTTCTCATTTTTTTCTAGGGGAGACCAAAAATATGTGGAATTAGTCCTGAATCTCAAGGAATTCTCTGAAGCTACAGGTTTGGACATTAACCCTCTTAAATGTAAAGTGTTTCTTGGCAATGTTAAGAATGAGGATAAAGAGGCAATCCTTGGCATGACTAATTTTGCTCCTGAATCTCTGCCTTTTAGATATTTGAGCATCCCCATGTCCAGTAAAAATCTCTCTATCAATGATTGTATGGTTCTTGTTGATAAAATCACGATGAGACTCTGCCATTGGAGTTCCAAGCTGCTGAGTTTTGGTGGAAGATTACAGCTTATTCAGAGTGTGATGTTTTCAACAACTAACTATTTGATGCAATGCATCCCTATGCCCAAGAGAAATATCAGGGAAGTTGAAACTGTATGCAAGTCATGTTGAGTAAAATTTAATTTCATTAGTAATGAGTTTTTTTTATATTAAATAAGGTAATAGGAAGATTAAGAACCAATGTAATTTTGAAGGTCAAAAAGTTAGTAAGTTATGATAGTTTTATTAGTAGTAGTTATTTTTTCTTGAATTGTAAAAGTTATTGGGTCTATATAAAGACCAAGAGTGTATTTTATTTAACAACAGCAATAGAAAAGTTTGCCTCTTTCGCTAAACAAACCAAATCTAAGTTTGCTTCTATTATAACAATTTGGCATCAGGGTTCATGACAAACATGATGAATCAAATACCGTTGTCATGGCTAACAAAGTCAAATTATGAAAACTGGAGTATCCAAATGAAAGCTCTTCTTGGATCTCTAGACGCGTGGGATGTGACCCATGAAGGGTTTGAAGAACCAACAGAAGTTGGGGGATATATGGAAGCTCAAACGAAGGTGTTGAAAGAGACGCGGTCGAAGGATAAAACGACATTATACATGTTGTTTAGGGCTCTAGATGAACCAGGCTTCGAAAAAATTGCTGGTTCGACTACGTTGAAACAAGCGTGGGACACGTTAGAAAAAGTGTTCAAAGGAGCAGATCGAGTGAAGCAAGTTCGACTCTAAACTCTTCATGGAAAATTGGAGAGGATACAGATGAAGGATACATAAACTGTATCTGACTACATCACACGTGTGCAAAAGGTGGTGAATCAACTCACCAGAAATGGAGAGACAGTAACTGATGCACGAGTTATTGAAAAGATCTTGAGATCTTTAATATACAAGTTTGATAATATTGTGTGTGCAATAGAAGAGTTGAAGGACCTTTCGACGCTCTCATTCGAAGATCTCGCTGGCTCTCTCGAAGCACATGAACAATGAAAGATGAAAAAGAAAGAAGAAGCAGTCGAAGAAGCAAATCAAACCAAGGAATCGAACAAAGACGAAAAGGTACTCTTTTCTCAAAACT